CTAATACCTGTGGACAACAACAAAGAGAAACATGCAGCACATATAGTCAGAGTTTGTCTGTCTCAGTATGACTTGTATATGAAAATGTGTGAGTGTACCTTCTCATAAAACAACTGGTCTGCTTGGTCCCGGGTCCTCAGAAAATTCTCACTGTTAAAAACTCTGTGCTCATGGTTTAGAAAGTCCTGGACGCCTCTGACATAATGACAAACAAACAGAATTACATTTAAACAAACAGAAGCAGAGAAGCAAAATGATGAAAAGTTTTATTGTGACCCAGAAATTAAACTGAAACATGGTGATATCTTTCAAACCTATTCCACCGATCACATGGTGTTCAGGATATTCGCAGACCCCTACCTGAAGATGTTGGCCACTAGTTCCAGGGTGATGTTTTGTATCTGTGCATTCAGTTGTCTCTGCCACTCTCTGCGCTGGCATTGCAGGGCGTTGGCATCGATGCCTGTTCCAAGGTGACACAGCTCCAAGTCATAATGAAGCTGGAGACACTCTGCTCTGGACACACACACACAGCCCACGTATGTAAAAATGATGCAGTCCAGATAGACCCTAAATTACTTTTATTTAAATGAATAAACTGAACTTTACTCCAGTTGTAATTTGATTTAGCAGGCATTTAGGGGGTAGATTTAACTGTTGTTCCACTACTGCTACAACTTTGATACAAGCTGAGGCTCCACTGCTGGTCCTACTGCCAAAATGAAGTATAAATGCCACTTAGTAAAGTGGTAGTGCACTGCTACAACACAGAATGCTTCTACTCATCTGTGTATTTCATTTTTTTATTTTAAAGTATCACTCACCTAAAAAAACATATCACCAGAACTCCCAGTTTTCTACTTGGCATTACCTTGACATGAAACACTCAGCTGCAGACAGAGGGATAGCTGGTAGGTCAGTGGTTTCACAGCATGACGAACGAACGAGGCCATCATCAATATTCACCAGGATTAGATCCTCTGTCTCCTGCAGCCAAACATAAACACACACACACACACTTTTTATTGTAGGTACAACTCATTATTACCCTGCTCTGCTAGACTAACAGACAGCTACTATTAAATATGTGAACTGAGTTTCTATAAGAGATGCTATTCTTAAATACTCTATGTGAACTCAACCAAAACAATTTAAAAAGACTTGTCATGTGAATTACTGCGAAACAGCCAAGACACTATGAGGCAGAATTTGAGCAATTTTCATCTACTAATTCCACTGGTTCTAAACACTTCACTACATGTAAAACAATAAGTTCTGTTAAGTCTATAACATGTAATATTTCTAATATATTTTCATTATTCTGTGGATGAGACTCATTGAACAGTCCAGCAGCAGTACAGAGATATTCCTTCCTACTCCAGCAACCTCACCCTTGCACCCAGTCACAGAAGGCCAAATCAGGGGTGGGAGCTCACGGCTGTTAATCGATATGTTAACACCCTTCTGGTCAAGTACTTCTCTCGCAATGAGGCTTCAAGATAGTATTAGCTGCTAGAAGATGTTGTTATGGCCGACCCACATGCAAGCAACTTCCTGATTGCTGCATCAGCTGAGACAGCAAACACAGCAAGGATGTGAGTGAAGAGCCAGGCAGAGTTTAATGGAGAGGGCAGGGTGGGAAGTGAGGAGTGGTATGTTTAAGTCTTATGCTAGTGCTAGTTTGATTTCCAGAACTTCCAATATAGTGGTTTTAAACAAATAACACCAGATCTGATCATAATCATAATATGTCCTTGATGAAAATAAAAAAGTCTATGCCTTAAACAGAAACAGTGATGCTGATTTACTTACTGCAGCGACCTCCTCAAAATGACTGCTGTGACAACCCATCAGGAAAGCAGTAGGGGCCATAAGGAAGTCCAACATTCCTCTAGCTAGGACGGGAACATAGGGCTGCTGCCACGGCAGAGGCTGGAAGAAAAGTCAGAACAACAGAAGACATAAACAATGGGAAACTGGACAAAGTTTGAGAACATCCATCCATCCATTATCTACACCGCTTATTCCTGAATAGGGTCGCGAGGGGGCTGGGGTCTACAACAGCTGACATTGGGCGAGAGGCGGGGGACAGGTCAGTTTGAGAACAGCTCTCCAAAATAAATAAATAGAAACAAAATCATACTGTCCTTGTAAACCATTTATAAGGAAGCATGTTGCCTACACTGACCTGCAGGTAGAGCAGGAAACACTCTGCAACCAGAGTGAGTCTGGCCCAGTCAGATGAGAAGAAGACCATCCTCTGTTCTTGGAGGAGGCAGGATAGTACCTGGAGAGAGGAAAACCTTGAAGTGATAACTTTTTTTTTTTTTTTTTTTATAAAATCTATTTTTCATCACTTTGTGACTTCATCTTGACTTTATATACTTTCAGTGGCGATCTCTGTGTCCTGCATTACCTGGAGCAGTGATGTGTGCGTGAAACAGAGGAAAGGTAGATGCAGATCAATGTCAATAACAGGACTGTCTTGATCTTCCCTGGATGGAAGAACCACCTGAAGAGGATGGAGGCTGAAGGACTAAAACACACACACACACACACAAATTATATATGTATAACAATGAGAGGTAAAAGGATCAGAATAAAAACAAAAGAGAAACAAGAAGAGTAACCAGAATGTTTTCTGACCACATGTAATTGTCCAGGAGGTGGCAAGGGCACCAGCGATAGCTTGGCTGAAAACTCCTTGATCGTCTCTTCAAAGTGAGCTTGTCTTGCAGTCCGTAACTGGGCCGTGAGACTGAGAGGGTGGAGGTAGGTGACAAAGTAGGTGATGTAAAGAAGGGGTTCAATTTGTTTGTATGACAAAACACTTAAACCAAGGTCTGGTTATCTATCAGCTCTATATATTAATAAAAATGATTACCATGACAAGCAGTCTCTCAGCGCACTGTAGTAGGGGAACTTGGAAATGACACACACAGCAAAGGGCACATAGAGACGAGTCTTTGATGAATTCCACCTACGGCTACTCTGGATAACACCTTCTAAACAGGACTGACAGAACAGACAGCTAATGAGAAACAAGTGTTTCCACTTATCGGACTCCACAAATTCTTCTGTTTGAGTGTGTGTGTGTGTGTTTGTACCTGAGCAGCTCTGTAATACTGCACAACGACTCCATGGGTTCGGTTCCCAAAGACGTCAGTAAAAACCAGGAAGTGATAACTGTCTTCTCTCTGCTCACTGGCTAACTGAAGACCATCTGTGAAGATCAAGAAGTCTCAAGATAGGCCACATCACAGAGCAGGCCATATGGTGCGTTCATGTCATGTGGGAGTTGCTGTAATTACCAGTTTCACTCACATCCACATTCAAGTTAAAATTAGGGACTGGGATTTTTTGTGAAAGATCTTATATATTTTACTTGGCAAATAATAATATGCAAGTACCAGACAAAGCAAATACACATGGATGCCTCACATTCAAGTCTACTATTCTAATTAAACCAAATTTAATGGAAACAGCGCTATATTTTCAATGCACAGTATTTCTGACCCTCATAAGACATTTACATGGGAATACTATCCATTTGACATAAAAGTGGCATTACACCCTTTAACTTAAATCCCAGTGCTTCATATTAAATCCAATGTGATGGAGAACAACATAAAACTGTTCCAACACCAAGAAGCTTCTCTGTTCTTAATAACAGTGAGAGGGGTAGAGCTGGCATGTCTGCCACTTGACTTTTAGCAAGATACTCATCCATTATGGTCGCTATGGTGCCGGCTTTGCTATTCAACTATAACCCTACACAGCAACATGACATTATCTAGTTCGTTCGGTAGCAATCAAAGCTTATGCATGTAATGCCATGTGCTGAAGAAATGAGTCAGCAGAATAGGATATGTAATGTTAAGTTTGTCACAAAAGAAAACACACTATACCAGGGAAACAAAGCTGTGGCAAAGCAATGAGGTCCAGATCCTTTGGGACACTGATGTCCTCTGTGGCTGAGGACACTTCAGTACGACCGGCTCCATTAGATAATTTCACTGCAGCACGATCTTTCCTCTTCAACAAACAAATGCAAAAACAAGTCATTCGCAATTTATTTCTGAATCTGACTATATTGTGCTCAGATGACTGTGAAATGTATCCAAACCCGTATCCACATGTAAGATGATGGTATGACCAGTCACAAAACAGAATGGGAACCATTGTCCAAAAACTAGATTTCAAATACATTTTTAATACCCTCTTGATGAAGCTCCTCCTCCTCTGGACATGGCTGAAAGCTGGACCAATAGCCTCGCTTGAGTCGGTCACCTTGGAAACAAAGGGTGGGGCATGGACCTGCAGCACCTCAGCTTCCAGAAGTGGGGGATCATTTAACTTACTCTGCCACACAGTATGGAAATATTTAGGGTTAAAGGTTTAGCAACTTAATCACCACCCAATGCAAAGCCTACTCTGTCTTAATAAATTGTTTTCTAAACCAAACTCATCCCATTTACTTTCAGATAAAATGTTACATGCATTTACAAATATGAAGCTTTCAGGAATGAAGTACATTATCAATTATATAGTTGAACCATGGCTGTATATGAAGACAATGTGGCTATTTTCACACTGCAAGTAAAATATCTTATTTGAATTTTTTGCCCATGTTTTTTTTTACAAAACAAACAGAAACGGTAGAAAGTCACAGGCATGGCTAACCAACTGACTTCATGAAAATAATTACAATATTTACCAATCAGATATTATTTCAATTATACAATATTTCACCAATCAGATCAACCTGAGCTTCATCTTTTAAATAACCTTTATACCATCTTTTGTGTTTTTTCTTATGGAGATTAACAGCCCAGGTGAAAAAGGTCTGGACAGCAATATTCTGATAATAGTGATGTTGCGAACTTAGTGGACATGATGTGGACATATTAACCCCTTTTTGTGTGACTATAGTGTTGACTTGCAGAAAAGCAACACTCCTGTGTAATTCCTTGGTGTTACAATTCACAAGCATTTGCTGAAACACAGAAGAGATAAAGTACTGATTAACTGATACATATCCAGAAATCCCCTGGGTGCTGTTGAAATCACAATGATCCAGAGACAAAGTCTGTGCTGACACCAGTAGCGTGCAAAGTGCCGCTAATGTCTGTTTTTTTGAGCACTTTGTGAGACCATTTTATTTGACCATGCACATATGACTTAGCTTCTTACTTTCTTTCTTTCTCAGTGTTTGTGTTCTTTGGAGGTTTAAGATTCATTACATATTGTACATTTCTTACTCATCACTGTACTCTTTATGCTTGTGTTGGTTGGAATTTGAGCGCTTAAAGACCCCCCCACTGGCATTATTTTATTTACAGTGTGAGGCCATTCTTGGCCTTTTGCTGGCTTACTTGTGCACTCACATGGAAAGTAATGTTGGGAGTTCTTATACTCTTTGATCACACAACATGCTGACTGTCCCAAAAGGTTAAAACTGAACTGGGTGAGTTAGTCTTTTCTATGAAGCTCCTCATACACAGAACTCTGTGTTGCATGGAGTCAGTGCTTCAAAAAGCACTTGCCATTGTCAGGGTGTTTGTTAAATCACCGCCTTAATATTTTAAAATAGTCTGACTTAGTGTTTTACCAATTTTGACCTACTTTTTCATCATTTTGTTTGCTGATAAATGAGAGGGTGTTAATGGATTTATTTGTATTGTTTGTATCTGTGGCTGTCATGAGTGATGTTGCTGCCTGTCATGGCCAGGACCCTCTTGAAAAAGAAAATTTTAATCTCAGTCAGGTTTTCCTGGTATATATGTGTACCTGAAGTATGTCTTGAATCTTATCGCTGGGGGCTCCAACCACAACACATGCCTCCAGCAGTCCAGATGGGAGCTCTGCCATCATACACACCTCTAGAAACACACACAATGTGCATTTAGATGAGACATTATACATTTAAGCAATATAACTATTTATCATACAGGAAGATGACAGAAATGTGGCAATACATTTTTATATTTATACCAGAGGACCTTTCCCATTAATGTCTCTTCTAGTACTTGGCCATTAAAGATAATAATGCAAATAAATAGGAAAACTGTTCTGTGGCAAAACTGGGTGTACATGATGACAATTCAGGTACCGTATTTTCCGCACCATAAGGCGCACCAGATTATAAGGCGCAGTCTCAATTACGGGGTCTATTTCTGTACTTAACCCATACATAAGGCGCACCGTATTATAAGGCGCATGCTAAAACGTAACGGAAGCAAAACAGTGAGTTTAGTTGAACTTTATTCTATTTAACAATACACTCTAATTATTTTTAATCAATCTTCTCCCATAAATCCATTAAAGTCCTCATCTTCTGTGTCTGAATTGAACAACTGGGCAATATCGCCATCAAACAATAAATTGAATTCTTTCGCAGCTGCTCTATTCCCATTTACAACTGCTTAACTGGTAGCCTGTAGTTTGAATTGTGCCTCGTAAGCATGTCTCTTCACTGGTGCCATTTTCGGGGGTCCTTAGACCGGTGTAGACTGGTTTATCGCTGCCAGCGTACGTAGTGTACGCAATACGTCCCTGTGTCAGGGGGCAATGGTCCGACAGTCAATCAAGCGGAGCGCTTACCAAAGTCGCACAACAACATTTTTACAGATTTTGGAACTCAGTGCACACATAAGGCGGATTATTAGGCGCATGGCCAATTTTTGAGAAAATTTAAGGCTTTTAGGTGCACCTTATAGTGCGGAAAATACGGTATTTTGTTTACTGGATTAGACAGAACCAGACATTTACATGTAGTTATTTTAACTGGACAGTTTCTGGGACTCTGATAGATTCTGACTTTCTCACGCTGTGAAATTCCAGTGTATTATTAGTAATATTTAGGTCGATACTTGTGACATAAAATGAGAGATACTATGATCACTCACCCTTGTTATAGTTGCAGAGATTTACATAAATGATGACAATGACAGAGGAGCCTGCAGTAAAGTTCTGAATATTCGATATTTTTACCATGACTCATGACAGATTCCCAAACCAGATGCTGATCTCATCTGTGGTAAAGTTCATCAAATGACAAAACTACAGTAGAGAAATCCAATTTGTAAAGTACCGCACTCATCAAAAAAAGAAAAGAGCAGGATGTTGGTCTTTAATTACTGTAAGGTGTTACCCACACAGACAAACTACTCTTCCCACAACTTCCTCCAGATGTGTGCCAGCAACACACCCTATTGCACTTATGTGGTCACATGCGTATCTATATACATCCAACTCACACACACACACACACACACACAGAGCAGGATGTTAGGATTTGGTTATGAGTGCAGGAAACCAGCTCTGTTAACAACACGAGACCCACAGATGGAGAACCAAGTTACTGTAACTCTGCCTGAAAGTGAACACAGGAGGAAAATGCTACACACTTGAGAGGAAACACTATATTTAGTTAAAAATCAACTCACACTGATTTTGGCTATTATCCCCAGCATAACTCACAGCCATCAGATGAGATCATGTGTTACTTCACAACCCGTCAGTGTTCTTTTAAGGGTTGAAACTATTACTGTCATTATTGATTAATGATTACAAGTCTATCAAAATCTCTCAGAGCCCAAGGTGGCATGTTGCAATTACTTCTGACCTAAAGTCCAGTGCCCAAAAAAATATTGGATTTACCATCAAAGTACAAACACACACACTTGTGACATAAAATGAGAGATACTATGATCACTCACCCTTGTTATAGTTGCAGAGATTTACATAAATGATGACAATGACAGAGGAGCCTGCAGTAAAGTTCTGAATATTCGATATTTTTACCATGACTCATGACAGATTCCCAAACCAGATGCTGATCTCATCTGTGGTAAAGTTCATCAAATGACAAAACTACAGTAGAGAAATCCAATTTGTAAAGTACCGCACTCATCAAAAAAAGAAAAGAGCAGGATGTTGGTCTTTAATTACTGTAAGGTGTTACCCACACAGACAAACTACTCTTCCCACAACTTCCTCCAGATGTGTGCCAGCAACACACCCTATTGCACTTATGCTGGGGATAATAGCCAAAATCTCTCCGAGCCCAAGGTGGCATGTTGCAATTACTTCTGACCTAAAGTCGAGTGCCCAAAAAAATATTGGCTTTACCAT